CTGCTACAGGAGAGAGTTCGAGAGCAAAGGCACGCCGGGCTAGAAAATAATTTAAAATGCAATTTCCTTGGCGATTTAGTACGAAAAAAACTCCTCTTTTTATTGAAAGAACGCCTTTTTATTACAGAAATATTAATACAAAACCAATGAGGACAGCGTGAAGGGAGGGAGAGACAGAAGCCAGGGGAACAGGAGGTTTGCAGGTGAAACAAAACAAAACAAAACAAAAACAACAAAAAAAACCAACAGATTTGGCTGCAAGCAGAGCAGGAAAGTGGTTTGCTGAGACAAGGAACTTAACTTACAGAGCTGAAGTCTGCAAACCCCAAGGAAGAGTCTTTAGGAGTTTTACTCGAAGAGGAGGGAGCAAATGGATCTTTTCCACTAAATGGGTCCCCAAAGCCCTTTTTACTTTGAAAGGGGTCAGTGGTGTCAGCCCCGAACGGCTGGAATGGATCGTGGGGCTTGGGGAAATCTGCAGGCCCAAGGTGGCTGACAGGAGTGCTTTTACCTGGAAAGGTTAGGAGAAACAAAACAAAACAAACAAACAAACAAACAAAAAAAAAAAAACAAAGAAAAGGAGAAAAAGAGAAGTTACTTACCATGGATAATGCAAAGGCCTGAAATAGGAGAAAGTGTGCTGACATAATTTAGCATCATCCATCCTCCCCTGGGGGAAAATTCACCCAAATGTCATGGTTTTCATTGCTCAGTGCAAATCAAGTTTTGTTTAAAGGGGGTTTATTGTGTCACACACGCCGAAATATTAATACCAAAGGATAAAACCCAATGTTGAAGGGCATTTGGCGGGAAGAATTTGCCAAGTGTGACTTTCTGATTTTCCAGGATTACAGGTATTTCAAGTTTAAGGTTGGGATTCCATAAAAGGCAAAATAGGTAAAAATCTGTATCACTAAAGACAGATAAATAGGATTAAGTGGTAATTTAGCAGTGACTTTACAGAATGCCTGCATTCCCCTTTTTTTTTTTTCCCTGGGGCTGGTTTATCCTTCTACCACCACTTTTGCACAAGGAAAAAAAAGAGACTGATTAAGAAATCGCCTTGTGATCACCACACCTCTTGTAGGTGACTGCTTGTTCTTCCATTCCACCCCAACCACAAATGAAATCACAGGAATTATTGTGGAACATAATAATGTTTGTGTGTTTTTCTTTGTTAATGGGGTTCATTTTTTAGTTCCCCTTGCCAAAAGTACTGTTGTGTGAGGTCAAATAACCAAACAGATAAATGTGTTGGCTTTTTTTTTTTTAAATATCTTAAAAATAATTAAAAAAAAAAAATGTTTCTCCTGACAAGTACACACCCAATTTCTAGGGAAAATACTCCCTGGATGAACACTCTTGATTACAATGTGTACTTGATAAAGGAAAATCTACAAATACTCTTAAAACAAACATTTACACTTTCCTGTGTAACAACCTGAATCACTGACATTATTTGCATTAAAGTGATCACCTGTTTATTGAGATGTCCAATTCTTGGAACTATAATTAACAGGAATCTCAGAGTGTATTCCCACCAGGAAAGCTCAACCCCCACATTTCAGAGTGGGTGCTTGGCAGTCTGGGATTTTTTAAGGCACTTTTAAGTTCCTGAACTTCAGAAAATTTGCTCAGATTTGTAGAAATTCTCATTTTATCAAAGAGAAGGAGAGCAGAAAACATGGACTGAATTGATCCCCCATCCAGCAGCTGCCACTGAATCCCAGCCCAGCCTGTCCTGCCCCGGGGCCAGCCCAAAGTCCATCCTCCCCTGCACTCAGCTGGGAGCTGTTCCCAAAAATCAGCAGGAACAGGGAATGGCAGGGATCAGGAGTACGGGGAGCTGAGGAATCAGAAGTGCAGGGAATGGATCAGGAGTTCAGGGAATGGATCAGGAGTGCAGGGAATGGAAGGAATCAGGAGCACAGGGAGCTGAAGGGATGAGGAACACAGGGAGCAGAGGGAATCAGGAGCACAGGGAGCTGAGGGAATCAGGAGCACAGGGAGCTGAAGGAATCAGGAGCACAGGGAGCTGAGGGAATCAGGAGCACAGGGAGCTGAAGGAATCAGGAGTACAGAGAGCTGAAGGAATCAGGTTTCCCAGGAACTGCAGGCAGCAGGTTTGCAGGAACTGAAGGGATTGTGCAGATTCTCAGCAGTGCAGTGACAATGTCAGATGTGGATGCAACACAGGCTGCAGGGAAAAGTGGCAAGCAAGGAATTCCCAGCTGAACAAATACACAGACATGGAGAACAGGACACGTGCAGCAGGAGATAGAAATGGATTTGTTTAGTCCTGAGAGTGTTCAAGGGGAACCTGATCATAGTCCTGGAGGCAAATCTTCCATCAGGGAAAAGCCAAATGGATTCAGATTGGACCAAGAGAGATTCACATCAGACAATCCACAATATTTTGAAAACTCAAGGATACTCCAGACTGCCCAGGGAACTTATTGATTTCATCTCCATGTCCAGGAGGTTTGGGAAATGGTTGCTAGAAACCCCACTGGTTCAGCTGCCTTGAGGCTGGAGGATAAAGGACACCTCTCAAAGCTCCCCCCAGGACAATTTTCCACGGTCCAGCACGTGCTCCACCCTGGCTCACAGGGATATGTGGATCCCCACGGCAGCACCCACACGTGGGGCTCCTAAAGAGGGGCAGGTCATGCCAGTGATTTGTCTTTTCTGGAAGCAAATGACGCAGCAGAGAGGAAATTCCAGCAACATTTGCTCTCCTCACAAGCACAGACCCCCCTTCATCCCAACCAGCTTTTCCTACCAGTCATGGATTGGGCTGGGTTGGGTTGGAAGGGACCTCAAAGCTCCCCCCAGTTCCAATCCCCTGCCATGACTTCCACCAGACCAGGTTGTTGCTCCAAGCCCTGTCCAAGCTGGCCTTGGAGAACTGCAAGAGAATCAAATTATCTGCATTTCTAATTCAAGCTCCACATTTCCTTTCCTTCCTTCCTCTATTGCCATTTACCAGCGAGAAAATTTCCCCTCCTTTCCTCCACCCTGTATTGCCCCAAACCCCCAAAATTTGGAGAGACAGAGGCAAACCTGACCCATTTTAAGCTGCCTTTTTTTGGGGGGGTTAAACCTTCTGCTACCAAAACCATTCAGTGATGCCTCACTCTAATAAGGGATTTATCAACAAGAACCTGGGTTAACTCTCCCCTTCCTGACAGAATCCAACTCCCAACTCCAAATCCCTCTTTCACCCCCGCTCTTGGGTCGTTATTACAGTTTGTTTTCTGCAAAAAAACCGGGTTTGAGGCCTGGCAGGAGTTGGTTTGGTTCAGTTAGGAGTTCCAATTTACTCATTTATTAACCACAAATTAGTAATAACGCCCCCAGAACTATCTCTCTGGCATCTCTGCTGGTTTACACCAAGTGTGCATTTTTATAATGTGAAGCAAAAATACCCAACCCACATCAAAAAAAAAAGGCACCAGCTGAACTGAGGGCCACTGGTAAGAATTCTAACCCTGCAAACTACCCTCTTGGTAGTCAGTGAGATTGCACCAACCTTCCATCTGCTGGAAAATGTTGTATTTTTACCATTTTGAGGCCCGGCAGCACGAAAGGGCAGGCAAACGCTTGTAACCCTCATTTGATTTTTTTTTTTCCTGCTAATAGTTTCAGGGGGGGAAAAAAAAAAATTCAGAATAAAAAAAAAGCAAAACAGGTCCTGGCTCTGAAACCACAGCAGTTTCAGCAGTTACCCAAGTGGTGCACCCAAACCACACACCGAGGACTCACTTCAGCAAAAAGAGCTGATGAACAAAAATGCTTCACCACAGCAAGTGCTGCTACTTGGAGTGAACTCCACCCAGAAAAAGGGTTCATCTCACTTCATGCCCCGCAGCAAACTCCGGTTTGGAGGGTTTACATCTAATATTTCAAGGCAAATAAAACACAAATGTTGTCTCACTGCGTTACAAGATGTTGATAAATGAAGTGAAATATTGATAGTTCTCTCAATGTTCTGTTTTTCAGTGCAGGGCTGAGCTTTCTGCTCAGGGGAGGGTCTTGCTGAGTGAGGAGAAGCAGCATTTTCCCTGTCTTTGAAGCCTGGATCGTTCCAAACAGGGCAGGGCTGAGATGGCACGACTTTAAACCTTCCAGGAAACTTTCTTAACTGGAAAATACTCTCTGAGAAGTCAGGGTTGTGCTGCAGAGGATAAGGAATGACAGTGTGAGTGAAGTCCACACCTGTGATTACACCTGACCAAACAATCCCAGGGTTTCCACGCCTGTCCCTCACATGGCAGGGCAGGAGTTACTCTGGATTTGCAGAGTGGAAGGTGCCTCCCAGCACACTCTTGGCACTTCATCCAATTTACATGTCATTCCTAACTCACTCAGCATGTTTTCACCATCCTGTTAAACTGTTCCCTGATGCAGAGCAAAACCTTCACGAAATTAGAGAAAAATGGATTATTAGTTTTCAAACTGCGCCTGAAGGTTGGTTAAATCAAACCCAATGTTCTACAGAATACTCTGAATTATTTGGCTCCAACAGGGGCTGTATTTCCAACTCAGCTGTTTGGTGATAATCTTCTCTGCACAAAATCCCAACAGTAACAGAAGGGAGGATTTTTCCTTGCAAACCCCTCCTCGAAACTGTTTTCGCTCCGTATCTGCAAAGTTTGCCCCTCGAGCTCACCCATAACCCCCCAAAAACCCATCGAGAGAAATATTCTGACATTCCACCAACCCCCTGAGAGCTGAGACATCGTTCAGCCCAACAATCTGCCCTGAACCAGCTCCTGAAGAGCCTCCTCCAGCCATCACTGCTGCAACACCTTCACCGGGAGCCACCAGCACAAACAAGAGAATCAAAGCGTGAATGGAATTTTGGGTTTGTGGCCGGGCAGGTGCTCCACCCATGAGTCATTCACCCTCCACAACAAGGGGGTGGCTGTGCTCGAATTCAACTGCCAGGGCTTCGAGAAGGCACGAAAAAATAAAAGAGCTTTTCCTGTCACTCACAACAACCTCGAGGCTGATTTTGTCACTCTCGGCTGCAGATGGAGGAGAGGGGGGAAAGAAAACCCCAAAGGTAAACAGGCCCTGTGGTGCTTGTGAATCGAACTGGGGGTGCTCAGGAGGTTCTAAGGAAGTAGGTGCGTGGTGCCACGCAGAAATCAACACCCCAACAGCCCCTGTGAGCTCACCAGGAACAGAGAGCAGAGGCATCGTTTGCTTTCAAGAACTGAGCCAGGTAAATGCACACAAGAAATGCACCGAAGGCTTTGGCTTGCAGGGTTTCTTTAAGCAAGATGCTGAACAAATTAATTTTTTGATCTGAGACACTGAGGACAGGTTGTTAAAGCCCGTTTCTGCGCCCAGCTCAAAGACTGGCAAAGATCTGAGCTGTTTTCTCACTGAAAACTGTCAATACGAGGCCAACGTGCACCGAGAGTGCAGAGGAAAAAGAAGTCTAAAATTGTAAAAAACAGCCAAACCATAAAATGCCTTAAATTTAGAGAAGTGACACATACC